CCCAGGTCAGCCCCAAGGACCCTGCTCCTGTGTGCTGAAGTCCATGCAGGGGGCGCACAGAGATCTGTGCCCCGAGGCTGCTCCCAGATGGTGGCTGTCACAGCAGGACACTGAGGCTGCTGCTCCCAGCCCGCAGGGCCCCTATGAGGCTGCAGTGCCCAGGACTCCCTGTGGCCTGCTTCACTTCCCGTGATTTCCTGCTGGCCCAGGACAGGCCCTCAGACCTCCTCTGGCCACCATTTGGCTCAGACATGCCCTCAGTCTGCGGGCAGTGTCTTGGCCCCGCTCCATGTCTGTGACTGCAAGAGCAAAGTTAAATACTGTTTCAGGATTTCTTAGCTACTCCTGCGTTCCAGAGGTGGAGCTCACGAGGAGGCAGTAAGACTGCACCTAGTGACTCCCTGCTGAGAGTAGACCGAAGCCTGGTGCTCACTGCAGCTGCCATCCAGATGCCCCTCTGGGGAGCCGGCGGTGGTCAGGAACAGCCCTTGGGAAGCCTCCCTGTGCCTAGGAGCGGAGGCTCCTTCCAGCAGCCCCAGGAGTGAGTCAGCTCCCCGCCAGCCGCCAGCCCTGCAGGCCCTCAGGGTGCAGAGCTGCTGCCCGCAGCCTGAGAGACCTGGGCCCCTACTGGGCCCCGACTGGGAGCTGGGGGAGGACGCTCTCTGGTCCCCCGTGGGCACAACTGATCCCGTGTCCAAGAGAGTGAATTTCAGTTCACTGTGGCACTGAATTTCAATTTGTTCTCTGTATTGAACATGTCACTGTGCTGTAAGATTTAACATTTTCATGGCAAAAGGATGCGTTTTGTTACCATTCAAGCAAACTCCTTCCTTGGACTCAGTTCCTAGCTGTGACCCCAGGAGACACACAGGAAGGGCCAGGTCACGCGAGGCAGGTGCCATGGTGGCACAGTCACCCCACAGCTATCCCTGCCTCCCTCCCCCTCACCTTCCCCTCCAAATCCTAATGTCGTTGTTGTGTAAAGGGACGTTGTAAATGTAACTAAGATCTTAGGTCATGGGCCTTCAGTAGGAAGAAGTCCCCAAGTTTGTGCTAGTCAGGTGAGTCTTTGAAGGGACTGAGTTTTCCCTGAGGAAAGGAATTTAGGGTGTAGACTGAGCACACCCTAGGGAATGCACGGAAAGCACATGGTGTGGGGTGCGGTTGCCCACTTTCAGGGCCCACACTGCACCTCTGAGGCATGCCAGTCTGGGTCTAGTCCATAGTCTCACTCCTGCTTGGTACATTGGTTCTTTGTCTCCATTCAAGCTGTTATGTTTTGGGCAAAGTCTTGAGGGAAAATTGTCTAGTGTGGGTGGGCTCTGGAGAAACTCCCACTGTGGGCGAAGAACTTTGGTGTCTGGGTGCACTGACACTCTGCGCTGCACCCACAATGTGTCCTGGACGTGACCACTGGGGGTGCTGTCACCTACACTATGACAGGTGGGTCCCCAGCACTGCTCCCGGGCCCACTCCATCCAGATCCCTAGGGTACTATAAGCATGTTCCCTTGGCTAGTGGGCTGGTAGTCAAACAGTTCCCCAACTTCAAGTTCTAGTTCCCCTGAAGTTCCTGTGTCACCACAAACCACACTTCACCCAGACCCCCCTACACCATTTTTCATTGTTTTCTTAATTTTAACTTTAAAAAACAAATTTATTTATTTATTTATGCAACAAGAACTGGGGTGTAGGCCAGAAGTGCAGGTGTGTGTGTGTGCGCAAGAGACAGCAAGAGAGGGGTTGGGGTGGGGGATTCACCGGAGATGGAGTGGGGACTGGAACACACTCTGAGGGGAGCAGCAGTGAGGCAGGAGAGTCTGCTGTGCCACGTGGGGCAGCTCCCTGGCTAGGGGTAGAGTCAGGCCTCAGTGGCTGCCTATAGCTTGAGCACTGAGACTTAACTTCTGTGCCACCAGGGCTGCCCCTAGGCACCTTCTTTTAGATGCAAAACACTGTCCATCTTGGCTCTTCACAAATAATTCCTGGCAGTGGGGAGAGGCCCAAAGTGTGAGAGGGAGTCAAGGGGAGGTGACACATCACTGTTGATGTTGAGATGGAGGCCACATTCAGCAGAAGGCAGAGTGCTCCTGGGCACTAGACATGGCCCAGGGATGCTTGGTCCACCCCCTTTCCTTCCCTCTGAGAAAGAACTCTGGGACCCCTTCCAGTGAGTTTTCTGGGAGACACCAGGGGCAGGGATGTGAAGGGGGTGGGGGACAACAGGGGTTCCAGTAAAGGGGCAGTGGAGGAAGAAGGCCTGGGCACAGCCTCGGGGATTTCCCAGGAGCCCCCTGGCCAGGCTCAGTAGACAGTGACAAAGAGCTGTCCCAGCTGAGGACAGTATTCAGGGCAAAGCCCAGGTGCAGGGCTGATCAGAGTGGCAGGGCTTGGAGAGTCCATGTTGGGGAGATCCCAGTGTTGGGGAGATCACGTCTTTTGGGGGAAATCTCTTTTCATTCTCACAGAGTGAAGGTTTCTTCTGCCTGGACAGTGGTAACAACGCCCCAGTTCTCGTTCTTATTTGCTGCACATTTCTGGAGAGGGCATCAGTAAGCATCACCTGATTCTTGTTCACAAAATTTTCCAGGAGAGAAGTTTCCTAGTGATCGGGACCAGAAGACTCCTTCTGTTGCTCTCGCAGTTCCTTGTCCTGTTCCCGGCATTGGTGGGTGAGTGTGCACAGAATGGGGAGAAAACCCTCCTCTGGAGTCAGGGCAGAGGACTCCCTGGGTGCTTTCCCTGGACTGGGGCTCAAAGCCCTTGCACCCACCCCCTCCATCCCCACCCTTCTCTTCCAATCTTATGAAATTCAGCGATCTTTTCTCTCTACCCCCTTTCTGTTATGACTCACCGAACCTCTCCAAGGTCCTGGTCCCTTCATCCTAAGACTCAGACTGGTCGGGAAGGGGGGTGGGTTAACCTGGTGCCCCTCCCTTCCCCAGATCCCCACTCCCTGAGGTACCTCTACACTGCGATGTCCCGGCCGGGCATCGGGGAGCCCCGCTTCATCGCCGTGGGCTACGTGGACGACTCGCAGTTCGTGCGGTTCGACAACGATGCTGCAAGTCCGCGGGAGGAGCCGCGGGCGCCCTGGGTGGAGCAGTTGGGGCCTGAGTATCTGGACAGGAACACCAGGACCTACAGCGCCACCTCACAGGCTTTCCGAGCGGGTCTGAACAACCTGCGCGGCTACTACAACCAGAGCGAGGAAGGTGAGCTCACAGCCCGCCAGGGCCAGCTCTCCAGTCTTAAAGGTTGCCTCAAGTTTCCTGGTCACAGCCTCTCCCCAGGGCCCCCAATAGGTCTCACCAGGAGGAAGCCCCGCGGGGACTGGCTCTGATTTGCTTTCCAGTTTAGGGATGTAACACTGGCTTGTCCTTTAACGGGGCAGCCGCGGGGCGGGGCAGCCGCGGGGCGGCCTTGGGAACCCTG